GTGTGTTGGTGTTGACCACCACCACCACACCATTAATCTCATTTAAAAAAAAATTTATTTCACGTTTCTAATGACCATATAAACGATCCAAATGATGATGATGATGGTGGCAATGTATAGACATTTCATGTTTTCTAATGTCGATGAGTGACCGATTTTTTTTTTGCTGGAATGACCCGTTTTTTTTTTTTTTTGGTTGATCACATATAAAATTTGGATTTCAATTTTTTTTTCGCCAAATTCAATTTCAAGATGTTTAAAATTTTTTTTTTTCATTAACATCGTACGTCAATCAACGAATATTTTTTGTGTTCATGCAAATGAACACATTTGTCAATTCATCATCATCATCATCATGCTGGTTTGTCGAGGTAAAAAAAAAAAAAATATTTTCCTCATTCACCATTCTAATCAAAGTTTTTTTTTTGGTAAGAAAACAACGAAAAAAAATTGCCTGGTCATCATTATCATTATAAAGATGGAAATTTTCAATAATAATTATCAGCAGCAGCAGCAACAACAACAACTTTTTTTTATTGATTTGGCTGCTAATTTTTTTTCTTTTTGGCCATTATAATTGAGAAAAACGTCATTTTTTTCAATCAATCACAGTCAATCAATGAAAATCAACTTAATCATCGATCGATGATGATGGTTAATTTGATTTTTTTTTTTTTGATGGGAAATTTCATTAGTTTTGTCCAACAAATGAAAAGGGGTAAAACCAAAAGAAAAAATGTGTATATGATATGATTGTTTTGTGTGTGTGTGTGTGATCAATGATGGTATGAATTTATTTTTTTCCCCACATTGATTTGACCAGATTTTCGTGTGTGAAATGAATGATCGATATCATCAATTTCCTAATCAGAGCAAAAAACGGTATCATCCACATACATGAGGATGATGATGATAATGATCGAAACCGGTCAACAGAGAGACAAACATCAAAATTCATTCAACTGTAACCGACCATCAATTTCAACTATAAATTATGAGATCATTCTGTTCAAAAAACAAAAAATCAAATCAATCAAAAGGAAAAAAACAAAACGGACAATATTTGAACTCAAACAAACAGTGGCGAGAATTTATAAATGCTTCCCGTTTCCGTTGTTTTTTTTATTTTATTCATTTCATTTTGTTTGGACGGAAAAAAATCAAATATTGCATTTCGATCACACACACCAAACACACACACACAGACAAAAATCGAGGACAATAATGATTGATTTCCGAAATTTTTTTTTCCACATTTCATTGTTATTCATAATTTTTTTTTTTCATTGTTTTTGTTGCTTTTTCTATCATCATTCTAGACATTGATACAGGACAAAGAAAAAAAAAGAACACAGTTCAAAAAACCTTAAATGGTGAAAATGAGAAAATGGAAAAAAAAGAAAAAACTTTCACCAATAATTTTGATTTGTATCACTTGTCCATTCAATGATGAATCGATCGATGTACATACAATATAAATCAATCATAATAATGATTCATATATATCGATATGATGATGTAATTGATCATCCTTGTGTGTGTGTAAAGCAAGAAAAAAATAACTACTACCGGCATGATGTGTAAGTTTTGCGTGTAATTTACTCCAACACACAACTGTTTTCATAACCATAAAAAGCAACAGGTAAAAAAACACACACACACACAAGAGGAAACAAAATGAATAAATAAATAAATAACGATTGATCAAATTTCAAATGGATAAATGGATCAAGGTTGAAATAATTATCAATTTTTTTTCATGCAACAACGGAAAAAAATTGATGAGAATCGATATATTCATTTTTTTTTTTTGAACAACGTACATAATTGTCGCAAACATTTTTTTGATTACATCACACAAATACATTTACATTATTTGATTCTGATTTATGTGTGTGTGTGAGTGTTGAAAATGTTTTTGTTTTGTTTTCTTGTAAATTCGTTTTGATTCATTGGAATTTTTTTTTTTTTGAAAATTGATGGTAGCCATTAATTTCCATCATCAAACACAAAAAAAATCATAGGCGAAAATGAAGAATTTTTCCCATTTTCTTCTTTCTTTTTAGGATTTGCGGATTTTTTTTTTTATTATTTCACTTTTCATTCAACGTATATAGTAAGGAAAAGGATTGAAGAATTGAAATAAAATATCATCATCAAGCGTATAATAAATAATAAAAAAAATCAAATCTTTCACATTCGGTTGGTTTACCTGTTGGTTTTTTTTTGCTTCTTCTTCAAATGGCCAAAACATACATTGATTTCTTGTTCAAACATAAGCAGGAATTTGTGCCCGTAAAAAAAGGTACTTAATCGCACAGGTAACATTCATCAATTAGTGTGGTAAATCTTACAAATAAATAAATATTTGGTAAAATTTGCATCCACAAAAAAAATTGAGAAAATTTTCAATTGCAATTTATAGTCATTTGAATAATGAATGAAATGAATGAATGTGTGTGTGTGTGTGTTTGGGATCACATCACATCACCTTAAGTGACGTGTCAAAGTTTGACCGCCTTCGATGTTCGATATAAGAAGAAAAAAGGTGTCATTTTTTTTAGTTCATAAGTGAGGATAATGATTTTCTTTCTTTTTTGATTATCATCCAAATTGAACCTGAAGATAAACAAGTGTTTTTGAATGAAAAAAAAAATCTAAAAGTTCAAAGTTCGTGACCATTAGATAATAAACAACACAATACGGATACTTTGTTGTTGTTGTCAATGTTGTTTTATTCCCTACTGATGTAAATGATGAATATCATTAGTATTTCGTGAAAAAAAAACTCAAAAAAAGAAAAATTCAATTTTAATTTTCTCTCTTTCTCTCTCTCCTATGGACCACTAATGATTGACCACCATCAGTGATGATCATTTAAATGAAATGAAAAAAAACCAATCTATCAGGTATAACAAAAGAATTTTCTTTTTTTTTTTTTTTTTTTGGTCAAGATGATGATGATGATGACCAATTCGTATACATTTCGGGTAGCCAAAGAAAAAAATCATCATCATCATCAATGAATGATAATGACAGATAATGTTCATTACAACAAGAACTAATGGACGAAAAAAAAATCCGATTCTTTTGAAAACAGAAAACAACAACAACGACAGCCAAAAAAAAACCAATTAATCCATCAGAATCCATCTCAATGAATGATCATCATTCGTCCAAATTTTGATCATTAACCAGTGGTAAATATTAATAAAAAAAAAAATATTTCTGGACTTTCACTTCAATCAAATCAACAAAATGGACAATTCATCGTGTTTTTGTTGTTGTTGTTGTTTACTTTTTTTTATATTTTATTAATAAAATCTCATTTACCTTTGTGTTGTTGAAAGTTGAAAGGTCGAATTTAATGTTTTACTTGTTTTATTTGTTTGCGGTCAAAAAAAGTAATAGTAAAATTGAGATGATGTAAAAGACATTTATAGATGGAAAAATAGATGGAAAACAAAACAAAAAAAACAAAAAAAAAAACAGAACAAAACAAAACAGAAAAAAACAGACGGCCAAATAACACAGTGAAAGAAGATTATTTGCTATTCAAAAAAATAAAATTTTTTTAAAAAAAGTAAAGAAAATTGTCCATTTTCATCGTTTGTTTGGAACAACTTTGTTGTTGTTGTTGTTGTTGGTCGTTTGAATGTATAATGATTATATATTAATGAATGGATGAATGAAATGTAGAAAATAAACATTTATTAGATAGATAGAAATAAGGACAGATGTTTTAGATGAAATAATGTATCATCATCTTGATGACGATGATGAAAACGTTGTGGCTGTTGTTGTCGTTGTTGTTGTTGTTGTTGTTGTTGTTGTTGTTAATAGCACGTTTTTCGTTATTAAAATTATTCAATGAAAAAAAAAAAATTTTCCAAAAATAAAAAATTTTTCCAGCCAATAATACCATTGTATTGAATTGAAATTGGATCCACTGCGAATCAAGCCAAACACACACACACACACACAGAGAGAAATTGGCTGATGATGATGGTAATTAATAATAAACAAAAATTTTTTTTTTGTGTGCGGAACAACAATTATTTGTTCCGTTTTTTTTACGCACTTATAAACAAAATGATGATGATGATTATAAACCGTTGTGAACTAGACAAAAAAAAACCGTTGTGTTGAAAAATTTGAACAACAACAACAATAACAACAAAGCGGACACACCTACAAAGTGGACAAATTTTTGTTGATTACAATTTCATTAAATTTTATGTTTAAAACAAAAAAAGAAATTGTTGAACTTTTTTCTTCATCATCATCTAGCTGCATTGTTGACATTAGCTAAATACAAAACACAAACACAGGTTTGAATGATTGAAGTAACAAACGGTCAATTGTCATTTTATATGGATGATGATAATATAATGATTATCCTCATACTATTCATTATTATGGTGGTCGTGGTCATTGATTTTTTTTTCTGGTTTCCCTTATGATTGTCACACCATTCAGTTGTTAAGGGCAACAACATTTACACAAACATACACTGTTCACCGATTCGTACGATGGTCAAACACTAACTGAATGAGTGTGTGGCCGTATCTCGTCTAGTATATGATGATGGCAATGTGTGTCTGTGTGTGTGGCAGAGATCATCGTGAGATGTGATGTCGATTTTGATAATGGCAATGAGTATCTGTGTGTGTGTGTGTGTCCACTCAATTGTCGATATTCATAGGATAGCGGTTAGTAAGAAAACAACAGGTGAAGAATGAAGGAAAAAAAACAAAAAATAAGAAAGAGAACAGCATGCAGGTGGAAAAGGCTACTTTTTTTTATCATCATACAGGTGTGTGTGTGTGTATGTCTTGAAAATTGCGCCAAAAAAAATTTTGAAAAATAAAAATTTTCACCACCAGATTCGCCATCTATATTTTGTCATTATTAAATTAATTTGATTTGATTTGATTTTTGTTTAAAAAAGAATTTTATTTCGTTATTGAATTCAATACGGCAATACATCATCAACACACATCAATCATGCCAAAAACCAATAATAATGATATGTTTGAAAAATCAAACAAATTCAATTCATCCAAAATCGCTACTGATTCAGCATTCATTGACACGACAATTAAATCTTTTATTACATCATTATCGGTCAAAGAAAATTCATTGGACAATAAAAACATTGAAAAATGTCCATTAGAAATGAAAAAAACACCAATCAATATGGATAGAGTGGATAATCTTGATGATATTGTATTGATTGGTTCATCGGAAGAAATATATCGATTAAAAGTGCATAAATATAAAGAAATAAAAAATTACATCAAAGGTGAAATATTGGGTAGAGGAAAATTTGGTGTTGTACGTGAATTTATTGATAAAAAAACATTAAAACGTTTTGCTGGTAAAATTATCCGTTTTAATATATTAAAACGTAATACACATCTTCGTCATCAGATTAATAAAGAATTAGCGATTACATATCATTTTAACCATACAAATGTATTGCGTGTATATGATATTTATTCAACTGGTAAAAAAATTTACATGTTCATGGAATTTTGTTATGGTGAATTGGCAGAATATCTTAAGGTTTATAAACAATTACCCAAATCACAATGTAAAGAGTATGTGCAGAGATTTTCCTTTTTTCTCCAAACTTTAATCCGATCGTTTTTTTTTGATTTAAAGTTATTTCGTACAGATAATAGAAGGTCTTGGTTATTTACATTCACATGGTATTATTCATCGTGATATAAAACCGGAAAACATTTTGGTCACTCCGGATGATATCATTAAATTAGCCGATTTTGGAGTCTGTCAAGAGATATCGACATTTACATTGGATGATATGGTTTTCGGTAGTGATGGTACACCACTTTATCATCCACCAGAATTATTTCATCCAAAAATTATCCATTATTCGGGAACAAAAATCGATATCTGGGCATCTGGTGTTGTTCTATATCAAATGCTCGTCGGTGAGCTACCATTTTTCAATAAACCAAATACAACAAAATCCGATATCGATGATATATTGACAAAAAATGTTCAATATCCATTGATGATTAAACAAGATGTTTTACTAGTCGATCTATTCAATGGAATATTTGAAAAAGATTTTCGACGACGTATGTCCATAATGGCCATTAAAAATCATCCGTAAGTTTGTTTTGATTCCAAATTGAAATTAATTTTTCTTTTTCTGTTTTTTTTTGGTCCCAAGATGGATGCAAATTGATTATAATCGAAAACGTAATGAACAATTTGCTAAACTTCCAACCGACAATTGTACTATTGATTCTTATCGTGGTCTAACTGTATTGACACGAATCTATAATAAATATTATCCACCACCAGCTGATGAAAAATTGGTAAATTTTCGACAATTTCAAGAATCATGTAAAATTTTACCATTGATGCGTTCATCACGTTATGATCAGGATACAAGACAAATCGATATAATGGATGGCGGTAAACAAGATTCATTGGTTAAATTGGAATTGATTTAAAAATAAATTCATCATTATTATTCAAACCGATAGATGGCATTAAATGTTTTATATTTAATTAAAAACAAAAATATTCGATTTTTTTTTAATTCTGAGTGATTTACACTTTGATGTATTTTGGAAATTGATTTGATATGACCTGATTTTAAAATTGTTTATTATTGTGTATGGCAGTATTATTGAACATTAGTTTTTTTGACCTTTTATAAATTCATAGACGGAACTGAAATCTTTATCGGCTAATGTTTCATTATTAACCAATGTACGATAATATTGTGATGCTAATGCTCCCATCGGTGTTGGTGATTGTGATTGTACAGAAATTAATTGTGCAAGATTCAAATCTTTTGTCAACAATGTAGAACGAAATCCACCATCATATTTATTACTAGATGGTGTAGTAGATGCTCCACATCCAGGTACTGGATTATAGCCTTCGGATACCCATGTTCGTCCAGAACTTATATTCAATATATCGGTCATTAATTTTGGATCCAAACCTAATCGTCGTGCCATATTTAATGTTTCTGCTGTACCAATCATACTGATTGCTAACATCATATTATTACATAGTTTTGCCACTGATCCCATTCCAGTTGTTCCACAATGAATAACATTTTTACCCATACATAATAATAATTCACGTAATTCATCAACGGTTTCTTTTGGTCCACCAACAATAAATGTTAATGTTCCGGCACGTGCAGCTGGTACAGCACCGGTTACCGGAGCATCAACAAATCGAATACCTTTTGCTGATGCTTCAGATTCAATTTTTTTCGATGTTTCTGGATCAACTGTACTTGAATCAATAAGTATAGCATCTTTTTTAGCATTGGCAATAATTCCATCAGGACCGGTATAAACTTTCAATACATCAGTTGGTAAAGGTACCATTGTGAAAACACGATCCGCTTGTTTAGCCACTTCAGCTGGACTATTAACGGATTTTGCACCACCAGTCAACAAATCTTTTAATGCATCAGTATTTGGATCATATAAGATTAATTCATGACCTTTTTTCTGTAGATGAGCACACATATTTGAGCCCATATTACCGATACCGATAAATCCAACTTTGGCATTTTGAATGGCCGTACTTTTCAATGTACGTTTAATGATCATATGAAATTGTCCTGTTATGAAAAACAAAATGAATTTAAATTTAGTGATTTTATAAATCAATATATCATAAAATTTACTGACCATTGGCGAACAACGATTTAGCAGTGAATCCAAGCATTTTTCGGAAAAAATGATATTTTCAATATAAATTTAATGGAAATCAAGAAACAAAATAATGGTTAAAATTGTCTGTCTTAGAAGAAAACAACAAATGTATTGAGTCAACAATGCACCACCGCCACTATTAACAATAACAGAACACACGCACAGCAGCAGCAGCACCAATAATCACCACTTATATCGAAAAACATTGCACACGCAGAAAAAAAAAGTACATCGAATCGATATAATGACATGGCGTGAAGATGATAGTATACTGATTAGATTTTCAATGTTTTCATTCAATATGTATAAATTACATGCCGATTTTCCCATCATATAGTTTGCCATTAATGGCATGAATTTTATGGACAAACGATGCAAAAAAAAAAAAAATACATCACATTTGTACACTTGCCAAAACATGTATGCATATGTGATCCAAATCAATATCATTGATTATCAATATTGATTTTTTGTTTTCATTCGTTTGTTCTTTTAGAAAATGCCATTATACACAGAGTACACAGACATGTTTTTTATATTTTTTTTTCAATGTCACATTTGATGTTGATGATCATGATCAACTTTAAATGATTGTCAATCAAATCAATAATAATTTTCCATAGGCCATAGTTTGAAACAGAATTCAAACTTTTTCCATTTTTTTTTCTTATTACAGTCATGTTTTGTGATTTTTTTTTCTTCATCTTGTCTAGAAGAGATAGAGTCATTTCATTCTCAATTGTGAATAAACGAACGAATGAATTTTGTAAATGAATTTGAATAAATAAAAATAAACAAACAAACGGCAATGCCAAGCCTAAAATACATTTTTCATCATTAAAAATCATTATTATTATAACCGGAACTTGAATATTTTTTACATTCACGTGAATCATTATGCTTATCATCTTTTTTATTTCTGTTCTCATTCCATTTCGTTTATTTGAACATCATCAATAATGGCTGTGTGTGTGTGTGTGTGTGTGTGGCAGCAGAAGCAGCAGCAAAATTCAAATTTGATTGAATTGACGGAGATGGAGAGCAAATGAATGGGAAAATGAAAAAAAAAAATTGATTCATACAAATAGTGAGAAATGTAAAATCCTGGTTCCATTAGATGATCAGACAGGAATTCATTTTAATTGACTTTTTTTTTCTCCATTTTCACAAACAGCAGACAGGCAAACCAAACACACACACACACACACACCAATATCAATTTATATGACAGGCTACCCATCATAATAATGATCATCATCATATAAAAGTTGTGGTGAGCAAAAAAAAAATTTCATATCACACAAATTACTACCAATATGAGATTGAGAATTCCTAGGATTTCTTCTTTTCTTCTATGAAATGAAAAATTTTTTTTTTTTTTTGAAATAAAACAATATCTAGGTTATCTAGAATTTATGGGTATCATTAATTTTTTTTTTGGTCTGTTTTCTAGGTCGGTTACAAAAAAAAATTTGGATTGAAAATGAATGGCCCAAATTCTATCATAATAATGATGATAAAGATGTTGCATTCTCTAAGCTTTTTTTTTCTTTCGGATAATTCATCAATACAACAATGGACCAATGGTTCTAATGATTATATTAAGAAGAATGATCTGAAAAAAAAAATTTCTTATCAGAATGCTTTGGAGAATTGAAAAAAAAATTCCGCGATAAATTACGTTACACACACACACCTATATTATATTGGGTGAATCCTAGAAAAAAAAATTGGGACAAATTACTACGGGCAAAATGTAATTTTATGGTAGAATGAAATGTAATCTAGTTAAATGAACGTACATGCAGACAGACTGACTGGAATTTTTTTTTCTGGAAAGATTCATTTCCAGTTTTTGTTTCTGGAACAAATCAAATAACAAATTGCTTGCTAGTGGCAATTCATGAATTAATTAATTAAAAAAAAAATTTTTCTCATTAAACATGCATATATTGAGTAAATGGAACAGTCCTATTTTATCCGAATTTAAATGGAACACGGATATAAACAAACCAAAAAAGAAGAACATTTGCCTTTTTGTTGAAGATTTGCAATTCCAGTGCATGTGTGTGTGTGTGTCGGAAATCACTGGAAAAAGTTTTTTTTTTCTCTGAAAATTGACATAATTATCCTAATCATTATTATTGTTTGGCAATAAACAATTCTGTCGATCATCATGACAATCATGAGACACCATCAAACACATCATCCAATAATTGGTATTGCGAAATAAAAATAAATAAACCAGAATGATGATTGTTGGCAAAACAAAAAACGACAACAATAATGGTTGTTGATGAACAAAACAAAACAAATGAAAACGAATTTTCAATTCTCATTTTACCACCACCACAACAACAACAACAATAACATTGACTATCCTAAATTTTTTCTATTGTAATACTTGCACACAATTCACGTGATTGTGTCATTGAAATATGGATGGATGTTCATATGCCAACAACAACAACAAAAAAACTTTCAATTTCTAATAGACTAAAATGTGTATGAATCTCAACTCTGCTGACTTTTATTTCTTTTGTTTTGTTTTTCATTTCATTTCATTCGCCATGCAACCAACATTAGTAGCAGAAAAAAATCATATGGCAGGGTTTGCCATCATCGTAATCATAATCGTTTTGTAGCAGGTAGGTTATATATTGAATAATGAAAATCAAGGTAACGATAATGATTTATTTTTGTTTTTTCTTCTTTTTTTTCTTTTCGATTGTTTCACACATAAAAAGTAATTATTATTATTATCATCCACTACTGAATAAAAACAGTAGTCGTTTATAGTCTCTTTTTTTCATGGTAATGATAATGACGATGATGATGATGAAAATGAAATTATTTGAAATTGTATTGCACAAAAAATGAAGCAATGTTTGCAACACACACACACACACACACCTGTCACAATTTTTTTTCGATCGATTTTTTTTCTTTTCACTCAAACCAATTTGTTAATGAATGCTGTTTTTTTTCTTTGTGACATTTTGAACGAATTAATTATTGTTATATTTGTATTTGGAATTGGTGGCGGTGGTGATGGTTAGATTCATTGGAAATCAATATTTGATTATTAGTGGAATATATGGAATCAATTTGTGTGTGCCGTCTGGTAGACACAAGTCAGATGACTTTGTGTGTGTGTGTGTGTGTGTGATGAAATTGAATTTTTAATCATTGAAAAAAAGCTCATTTTTCTCTCTCCCTCTCCATAGACTATTCCCATTTCAAGGCTAAAATGAGGATTTCCCTTTCGTTTCGACATTCAATCAGGTGATTTAACGAAATTTTCTGCATTTCTAATTCATTTATTTATTTGTGTATATGTGGAATGAAGATGCATTTTTTTTTGTTCTCTGTTGGCCGTCTGAATGTGACTGAATATAACCTCGAACGTAGAGTATTCCGTGTGAATGATGGGGAAAAACATGTTGAATTTTTTTGAAATGAAAAAAAACGATTGTTTCATCAAACAAGTCGGTTATTCGTGTTATGAATAATTCATTTATTTAATTTGGAACAAATTGTCATTTACCATTTTTGTTTGTTTGTTTGTCTATCCAGTCTGTGCTGGTTAGTTTAAATAACAACCATGACATATGATTTTTTTTTTGGAGTTTCATCATCATCATCATAAATGTCTCATTTGACTAGATAGATATTTTATCATCATGATAACGATGGTGACATACTTGCATATCACATGTATCGTATATACATTCATTGTATTAAATTGGAATTGAATCTATTTAGATAACATAGAGATACAACAACAACAACAACAACAAAAAATCAGGTTTTTTTTTCTTCTCTCAAAAAAATCATCATCATCTTGGTGATTATTATTCAATCCGATGATCAATGATTGATTGATTGATTAATCATATCATCGGATAGTGATTCGGTTTGATTTTCATTTTCCATTATCAAATTCCGTTTTCCTGAAATTTTATCTATATCGATTATATTGCATTATGATTGTTGATTCAATCAATTTTTGATGCATTAAGAGAGGGAGAAAACGAAAATGAAAGAAAAACCCGTTCTCATTCACTCACTCACTCATACACATCACACATCATAAAATTCAATTTCAAGGACTTGATCATTCGATGATGATTAATCAATCATCAATCATTAATTAAAGAAAAAAAAAATTTACACTTTTTTTTCATATACGAATATTGAATTGATAAAAATCAAATTAAATTAAAAAAAAAAAGACATTCATTTGGTCATTTATCTTTATTGATTCCTTTGAAAAATTTTGAGCCTCCTATTAATTTACTAATATCTGACGATAACATTTCCATCATGCGATCAGATGATGATCATGTTTGTTGGTTTTATACATTAATTATATTGATGATTAGATTATTGAAAATATATTCTAGTCGACAAATTTACAAATCATTTTATGCGGGGTATTTTCTCAACTTTTATTCTATGAATCCCACACACATGCACACGTTATTTTCAAGTTTAAATTTAAAGTTTTTTTTTGTTTTTTTTGTTTTGTTTGAGGGCTGCTAAGTTTGAATCAATCTTCAATGTTTATGTGTGTGTGTGTGTGTGTTTGGTAATTCAATTAATTAATATCATTTTTTTCTGGCTGCTTCTGTTTATACTTGTGTGAAGCAAAACAAAACAAAAAAAAATACGAAATTCGTTCAGCTGCTTTAAAGCTAAATTCGGGTTCTTTCACACGCAAACATACGCACACACACACACACACACGGAGAGCAGAAAAATACTTGAGTTTGAAAAACAAGAATAATTGTTTTGATTCTGTTTTGATAGCCTTAATTTTTTTTTCTATTTATATAATCATAATTCTAGATCATATTCTTCAGCAAAAAAAACGTTTATTTGTCATAACCATGGAATCATCATGAGCGTAGGAAGAAAGACAAAAAAAAATTGAAAAAAAAGTCAAGGTCCACACTAGCAAATACACACACAAGTACATTCTCTATTTAATTGAATTTTTGTTTTTTTTTCTCACCAATTCTATTACATCAATGAAATGAAAAAAACCATGATGACCATGAGATTCTTCAAAAGGTTTTTATTTGTTTGTTTGTATTGTTTCATTTACATGTTATATTGATGATATATCGTCATCATATCAATGTGATGATGAAAATATATTATGTTTGTTTGTTTAT